TTTTCATAAAACGAATATTTATATATGTATGCACTACAAACAGGAATTTAAAATCGGAAGCTATAACGCTGGATATATATTAAAGAGACACGTGTTACGTTTTAATTAGAAAATTAAAAATCTGTAGTTTTAATATATAGGTATATATAAATTTTCGTCAAATGAATTTTAATCTGTTTTCATATTGAAACTGAGCAAAAATTTATTAAACTGTATTTAAAAAAATTTTGTTAAAATTCATTATTGTTACCTTTAAAATATTTTAATTGCAGAATGCGTATTTCTGTTGGTCAAAGGCTCACGCGTAAGAACTTATGTCGTTAACGTACGTGTAAATTCTGTACCCATGCATTTTCTCGACCAAATAAACTTGAATACAAAGGCGTAAAGGTACTAAAATCTACCTAATCCAAAATACGAATATACATAACCTAGAAACCTCTAATTAAAAGTGTGAATACCACGCAATTGTTATTCAAAATATTAACGTATTAGCATGAAGTATAGAAATTAAATAGTGAAATAATTTTTAACCTAAGAGGCTACATATATATGTATATGTAAATAAAATATAATATTTTGCAGATAAAATGTGGATAAAATATAATTTTTTTAATCTTCTTCGATATAATACAATAACTTCTAATTGTAGTAAAGTGTATGTTGCTTACAATGTTTATACTAATTAATGTTATTGATTTAAAAATTATAATTAAACAGGACAATTTACCTTTTATAAGGAAAACAAGATAATGATAAATTTATAAACATAAAATATGGTTATCCAGAACATCAGCACAGTGAGGACATCTGTTATGGATAAGTAACAACAAAGTATCATTAACAAGCGAGTTATTAATAAATTTAAATAATAAAATAAATGATTTCCTTGCAAAACATTATATGCAACTTGGAATTTTGCAAAACTACAATTTTAAATTTAACAAAGTGAAATTTATTAACTAAATTATAAAAGTAGGAACATATATGAATAAAATATGCATATCAAATACATATCGAGTTATTAAGCCCATATTTTAATGGCAATACTTTCATCCAATAAAAAGGACTTAAAAATGACAAAACTTTCTTAATTAAATATAACATTTTGAATGCTAATCAAATTATAATTACAAAAATTAGATCGATATTGTTATATCTTTTATTATGTATAACGATTTTTAAAAGAATAAATGATACTTTAACAAATAAATGAACAACTATGAAATATATTGCAAAATTTGATCCATAATAATTCTACAAAACTTCAAAATTATCAACCGGGCTGTTTCAAATATTTTAAAAGTAAGTTATAGTATTGAAATACAATAGTATACAGGGCGTTCCATTTAAATTAATCCAATCAAAAAATATCTTCGAAATTATTAATGATACTAAAAATGTTTTAGACGAAAATTAAATGATTTCAGGGGTCATATAATTTAATAAAGAACACGTAAAGAAAATATAAGGGTTATTTTTTTATATGAAATTGTATATTTTTTAATGTACATTTAATAAAGACTGATCATTATTCTCTAAATAAAGGTATATGTACATGTGTGTATATGTGGATGTTCATACATGTTCATGTGCGTGATGTGCGCATGTGTAAGTATATACATCGAATAGATATGTAATACTATTTGTCAAGTCAAAAAAAAATAACAAAACAAAAAGAAAGGAGAAATAAAAATATTCATAGAATTGATAAAATTATATTGAATTATATTAAAATTACATGGAATAATACAAGTTTATATACAGGACATCATATAATACGTAAAAAAATAAACCAAAAATACATATATAAAAAAATTTGACCACTGAAAAATTTATCTTTGAAAAAATCAAGTTTAAAAATTCGTTATTAACAATTTATAACTTTTAGCAATCTATAGGTTAAGTAAATAAATTACTTAAGAAATATATATTTTTACTTATTTCGTATACTTAATTAATAAATGCAACAAATATAATCAATGTACGGAATATGATAAAATTCAGAATTGAAATAGAATCATAATCGAATACACATTGTATGTATATATATACATTTAATAAATCTTCAAATTCAATTTTCTCGAAAATAAGTCTATAAACGGCCAAACTTTATTCACATTCTCAATTTACTTTCTCGTGTATTTTTGCAGCTATATTATTAGAACATTCTACAGTAATTACCCAATGAGTAATCAAATTTTACACCGATTAAAGTTTCATGAACCACTATATCACTTTTTCTTCTTATGAATCAGCACAAGCAATGACAAATGTCGTTCTCGAAGGTTCAATCGATAACGGATCAAAGGCATTATTTTAAGCTCCGATAAAGCAAATATCAATAGCAATATCAATTTCTATACATTTGATTAGATTTACAGGAAAGTATTATCGATTAATTGCCAAAACCTTTTCATTTAGAATAAAAATACAACTAAATATTACTTTTTACGATTACTAATAATATAAAAAGAAGTGCAAATTAACACTAATTTACATATAATTAAATACAATAGGAATAAAATAATGTTTGGATTCATGTTCATTAAAAAATCGTAATAATGTATCGATATAAAGGGCCAATGAAAAATATAAAAATATAAATTTCCATTAACTGATGTCTTAAAGATCTAAAATTATTCTATGTACACTCTTCTTTTGTTTCACTTATTTTCGATATGATAGTCGATATATTCGATATAATAATTTCGATAAAATAATTTTAGACTCGTTAATGAATTAGTGATTACTTGATCACAGATTCGTTTTGCGATTTGTGCAAGAATTAATGTATTCAAATCATATTACTAAGAGTCCTTTTGAGAAATGTAATTTATGATTGCTAATTTTTAAAATATTATAATTGCAATTTTTATGACATTAAGGAAGTATCGTTTACTTGGATGATATAGAAAAAACAATTTTTGTATTATGATTTTTATTAATATGGATAAATTTGTATCTTGGAAATATGTCTGGAAAATCGCCAAAATTATAAAAATTAAAATAGTAAAATGTATTTATATCAAATAAAAGTCCACTTATTATTGATTCTATCGTTGAGAATATAACAAAGAAGAAACATTCTAAACTCGCTTCTACTCAAAATATGCAATGTATACTTTCTTACTCAATAATAATTAATCTATTATAGATTAATATTATAGAGACCGAAAAACAATTGAGCATAAGAATATTAATAATTATTGGATTATTAAGGTGGACTCTGTACAATTATAATGAATTAACATACCATAAAACTCTAACCAAGAATCTATATAAGGTTAGAAATTCAAAAATACATCAATATTAAAAATTACCTATTTCCTACCTATATATCAAATTATTCTAGTGAAAAAAAAAGTCCTAGAAAAATAAATACAATATTTCAAAATTGGACAAGTGTAATATGAATACAAGATTTAAGTATAATATATCTAATGAAAAATTTTGAAAACTAACTCAATACAGCAACGAATATTTTACTTAAAGTGGCAAAATTATTACAAATTCATATTTTTCACTTAACTGTCTAATTGGTTTTCAAACATAAAGAAAGAAATGTATATACAAACTTAAAGAAATTCCAAACATCAAAAACGATTTATTAAAATAAATTCTTTTTCTTTTAATTTGAAATTGGTTGTAATTAAATATAACAAAGTGAATAAATTTTATACTTGTCCATTAATAAATACATTATATGTACGTCTATATAATGTATAATAATATATAATATGTCATCTATATAAAGTGTTATAAATTATTATCTTTAAATAAATACATATAATAAATACATTAACAAATATACATAAAACTTCAATAATATAATGTGTGTGACTTCATAACAATACACTGATATTATAATTCTCTATTTGCTTGATTACTATTTTTTTTCTCGAATCTGTTGATAAAGAAATTCCTATTTGTAAAAATCGATTCTAATTAATTTTCAATATTATCTTTAAATTTATTCAATAGAACTTTTATTATTTATTTAATACATTTCGTTGTGATTTCAAAATAGATTCACATTTTAATTTCCTGTAATATTTTAATTGTATCTGATTATAAATAAATATTATTATAATTTCTTCTTTTCTAAATATAACTCTTTACTATAAGTTTTATGTATCATTATTAATGTTTAAAATTTATACAAAATTATTTGAAGTTATTATTGTTGCTAGATTACTATTTTATTATAAGAAGTTATAAAATAAATTTATCCTGTACAAAGTAATTTTTATTATTAAATATTAAATATTTTTTACATTATGTAATTTATTTTATATAGAGTACTATGAAAGAAATTACTATGAAAGAAGTGTATATTTAATATATCTTCTTTGCAAATTTGTTATATGAAAATATAAATATTTGCTTTAATTATTATAATTAATAAAAGTTATATAAATAAATAAATAAATATATAAATAATATAAATAAATAGTCTACTTTTTAACTTGGAAAAGTCTAAATTTTTAAATACAGCGAAAGGTATAAAAAATTTATTTGTTTCACCGAAAGTTCATTAAAGGTTAGAAAAATAGGTGACCTTAAATTTAAAAATACTTTTATCAGTTGTAAAAAGATGATCAAGTTAAATAAAATCTTTTGAATTTAAAATTATACCAATAATTTTATGTTTATTTGTTATTATTTTTATACTTACTTAGTATTCAATATTTACGTGATTTTACCTTTAAACAGTCGTGCAATGTTTGTATGGAAGAATATATGCATGTGTATTGAAATGTCTGTCAAAATCATCACTATTTAAAATTTAAATAATCATGTATGACAACTATTTTTTTTAAACAAACAATCTTTAAAGAATTGAAAGATAAATATATTTATTAATATTTCTTAATATCTGTTTAATCACGTGGATAACCTCAATTTTAATGTTTTTACACAGTGAAAATTTGTACAATCTGAAGAATATGTTTTGAATGATTGTGTATTTGTTTCTAAATAATTACTGCAAGTTCAACATGAATTATAGTTACTTTACACAGTTTCAAAAGCATAAATTTATAAATTCTATTAATGTTTTAAATAAGTCAATAAATTCTAAAATACCAGAAAAATCAAAAGCTGTATTTCCTGAACGATGGGGTGAGTAAATTAATTAATAATAATTTTATAATTTGTCTTGTATTAATTAAAATAAATCGTTATTTGTAGCAAAATATTGGAAAACTCTTTATACAGATTATAAAGATGCAGCATTAGGTGCTTATGAACACTCTAAGAAACATCCTATAAGAACATCTATATATTTTTCTCGTATGTGTATATATGTTTCATTAAAAAAACTTTTTATTGATATTGCTTAAGTATAAAAAATTATTAAATTATTTCTTCTCAAAAAGTAGTACAAATTTAAAATAAAAATTAGATGCAAGCAATAAAAATTTTTGAAATATATTTATATTAATGACTTTCTTAAATGTTTTGTACATACTGAAACTTCTTATAATTAGTTTTAGCATCTTATGTATATCTGAACAAACATAATCCAGATGAATGTTCCTTCAAAGAAGAGTTACTACAAAATACCATGAAAATAATGCAAGTGGGAGAAGCTATACGTAATCCAATATCTGAAAATTATGTAAAATGGTTAGGACAATGTTATAATGAAGGAATCATACGACGAATGAATTTAGGTATAATTTCTCTAATTTGGTTAGATGATTATGATAAAATGTGTTCTCTCTATAAATCTGTTTGTCCTTATTTAAAAGTACGGTATTTAACATTTTATCAAAGAGTGGTAGATTTTGGATTTTTAGATAAATGGTGGATCTTAGAAAGTAAAATGAAAGATTATGATATAAATGAAATAGAATTTAGTAATGTAAAACATGAAGAAAATAGTTAATTAAAGATAAATTAAAGAATAGACATATTTTTATTATTTATCGAAATTACCTAAGAATAAAAAAAAAGATTTGTATTTAAAAGATTAGAACTATTAATTCATAATAAGAAATATAACTGATCGGTATAATAAATAATATACTTATCTTATTACTATTTATTTTTATCTGATTTTAATAGCATAAATTTAATATAAATTTATAGAAATTATTTTTTATTATAAAAAATATTACATAATAAAATATTAAA